TGTTGAAGTAGACACAGGATGTTTAACAGAATATGGAGGCCTATAGACTAAAACAACCCGCAAACGAGTAGTAGCCACAGGATTGACCAACCATTCTGACACCTCGAATGACTCTTTTCCTGCAGCTGAAACCTTTTCAACGTTGATAGATTCTTTGAAAATCAATGCAGTCCCACCTCCTCTGCGATCACTGCGGGGATGATGAAGGAGTTTGTATCCCTGTGGTGTTATTTCACTAAGAATAGCAGTGTCATTGTCTGTAAGCCAGGTTTCAGAAACAGCAAATAGATCTGCTTTGCTATCGCATACCAAATCCACAAACGACGCTGACTTATTTCTCAAAGATCGAGCATTGAGAAGGCAAAGCAACAATCGTTGCGTATCGTTCTTGATATTTTCCAACACTTGTTGAGGCTTGGGCACAATAATGTGGACCAAATTACGTAGACACGGCGGTGCACGATTGCCAACAGCGGTAGCATAAGCAAAGTCGCCGTTTGTCGAGTGTCGATTTCCGATTACAGCTTGAATAGCAGAGGGGCCAGGATTTAAACTTACATCACCAGATTTGATCAGTCGAATCAGTTGAAAACTGGAAGTTGAATTGTGATGATAGTTCACTCTAGCGCCGAGGTAACTCATTCCACGAAGTCGACAACCAAGATGGCGGCCTAATCTCCGAGTGGAGTTTACTTGTTTGTTGCCCGTTATCACTTCCAACGAAGACATTGAGCTGCCAGAGCGAAGCGGTGCACAAGAGAAATAATATAGGCTATGTCCAGATAAATATTTCTCAGGGTGAAGACCAAATAAAAGCAATAAAAATGATAAAACTACGGAGCCAAGAAGGACACGTCTGAGTGCCATGCTGACCGAGCAATATATTTTCACATCTTTAAAGCGCAAAAAAGTTCAAAGTCCGGCTAAACAGTTCAAGGAACTAGTCAGTCTGGTTTGTTACTTCTTTGCACTGAATTAACCCTGTATTTATCTTAACGTAACAGAACTGAGTAATTTTTTCATGTATCTTATTAAGGGTGATAGCTTTTAAATGTGGACCCCAGGCTTGATACTTCAGCTTGTCTCTTCAATTAATTTTTTTTCTTATCATGAACAAGGTCTCCTTTGTCATGGGTTGTGAATAATTGGCCCTTAGAAGTTTGCTCTCACGACTTGAGTTGTTCAGTTGCTCAGATGAGCTAGTGTTTTATTTAGTTTTTGTATTATTCCTATGAAAAAGCTAGTTCCTTCACAACTTACTGCAATACATTTGGGTTTAATTGTTATTAATATATAATAATTTTCTGTATCATTCTTTTATTAATAATTTCATTATGTTTATTCTTCCAGCTCCTAGTGCACCTTTATCTTTGTCTTCTGTTGATATGCCACCAAGCAAGTCACATGGTCCAAGAATAACACTGACCTGGGGTGAGCCTGCAGAGCCAAATGGAGTTATCAGAAGTTACACTTTGTTTTACAGTCACGATGGAGTTGCACCAAAAGAGATTTCTGGAATAGGCAGAGATGCATTGAATCACACAGTTGATGTGTTAGTTGGAGTGACGTATCAGTTTAATGTTAGAGCTGTGACTATTAAACCTGGACCAAATGCCACGAAAACAGTAACTACCAAGGAATACGGTAAACTTTACGTCCATGTCTTTGAAATGGCTTCTTTTCAGAAGAACAAGAACACGAATGACAACAATGTTAGTTTTACCATGCTAAGATAAGTTTTAATATATTCTGTAAATTCTAAAAGCAGACAGTAGCTGGTCACCCAAAATAACTTAAGGGCTAGTTGGGTGACACCTATTTATTAATTGGAATAACACAAAAGTAGGGGAGAAAGCCACTACTAGCTAAATTACTCCAGTCTGCACATATCTTCATTAATATTAATACTATAGTACAAATAATCTAAAAATGATTCACCTACACTACTTTACATATATGAAAAAATAAAAATATCAGAAAATAAGATAAGAATCGTTGAAAACGAGTAACTAGGTAGAGATGACTGCCATTTGCAGCGAATGAATTAACAAAATGTCCTGTTCTTTGTTAGCTGAAGACTTAAGCGATCATAATTGTTTAACTAATCTTATTCAACTAATGCTACTCAGCCCTAAAGTAGTGATCAAACAGTCTTGAAAAAACTTATAAGATATGTTTGTTTGCCTGATCTCGGATGTGATAAATCTTTACACAGTTAGCGTTCCAAAGTTACAATTTTTCAGGTGTCTATGGTTTTCTGAATTTTATAGTGAGACACCTTGCCATGCGTATCCATGCTATTGATATTATTAAAAAATACCCTATTTTTAACCATTTTCTCGGGTCTCGGGTGTAATTTTTTGAAGTTCAAAATGTCAATAAATTTAAGACTCGCATTTAAGATACTTGGTAGTTAGGAAAAGTGTTACGTTGCCAAAAGGAAGCAGAAAGCAGGAGGTCTCGGGGTAGTAAAAGAGGAGTCAGCTCTTCCTCTTGAGAATGCATTCAAAGAAATTGGCAATACCCTTCAGATGTAGGTGTGAATAAATGGTGTCATGCACTCATGTATAGCTTTGCTTCGTTGCAAAGGAACATGTCAAACCTTTTTCAGTTTCTTTCGCTCTGACGAAAGGCTAATGCTGGAAACGGCAGCTTTGTAACCCTTTACGTTGGCCAATTTACGTTATCAACCTTGTTGATTATACCAAATAGCCCTTTTTCCAGTTTCGTTTTGTTATAGTGTGGTTCTGTTCAGTGTCGTTGGAAACCACAGGTACGGAAACATAAAAATCGCATTTGCCAATTCTAAGAGTAACTGTTTCTTAATGCAGGTCAGTATTGCGACAATTATTGCAATTTCCATTTTTTTGTTTATGTTTTTGGCCAAACTGCAAATTTAAAGTCTATCGAAATGTGCCCGTTCTATTTTCGCGAAATTAAGTTCTGGTGAAAATAAGTAATAATAAGGTTCGTCCAAATGTTTAATTTCATGAAGCATCTATTAGGATACCAGTTAGGTGTGGTGTTGGCAATGTTGAAAGTGATAAATAAGAGAGATAAGGTCATAATTATATTGAAATTTTTTTCCCATTTTATGGCAATCGGATTCTCTTACCGCGAGGTCGTAGCTTTTATTGCCATGCTAAAAGACCTAAAATATGAAGGTTTCATTTATTAAAAAAACATAGGAACATAATTATTACTTTTAGCTGCAATACCCATGAAAGGGAAGAGCGGCGATTTTTATAATAATATATTTTTTTACAGTTTAAGAATTGGTTAGAAACTCTTTTATCCTGCAGTTTAGTTGTACATTGCCATGTAAGGTGTGTCAATTAGAAGAAAAATAGTTTTTAAGTGTTAAAGGTTGAGGCTGCAGAGTCCAGTTATTAGGGAAAATGAAGGTCAGTCTGATTCATTCATTTAAGTTGGTAATTAAAACATGATTGCTCAATTGCAGCTCCCTCACAACCGCCCTCTCAGTTCACTGTATTTGTGAACTCTTCAACCAGCATCACAGCTTCATGGCAGTTACCTCCAGTAGGCTCCAGACATGGAATCGTCAAAGGATATAAAATATTCTATAAAAAGAAAGGCTCAGGTTTTGCAACCACCCTGACACTAGACAATGGAAACACATCAAGAAGAGTTACCAAGCTTGATGAATACACTGAATATGAATTTCAAGTGTTGGCCTTCACTTCTGCTGGTGATGGACCAAACAGTTCTTCTGTTTTCAGGACAACAATGGAAGATGGTGGGAACTATTAACTCTTTAACCAACATTTTAATAAACTCTACCATTGTACTTGTTGAGATAAGGGTGATTTTACTGATCGATTCAAGTTGCTACCTTTCAAATGTAGACTCCAGGCTCAAATAGTTCACCTCGCCTCTTCAATTGCTTTTTTCTTGATACTAAGAAGATTTCCTTTTTCATGCGTTGGATTAAATCAACTCTTAACAGCTTCTTTTGAAGACCTGAGATGTATAGTAATTTTTAGCTGGGATTAATTGTTATTTAATACACATACATCGTTATTATTTTTTTTGTATCATTCTGTATTCTTCCAGCTCCTAGTGCACCTATATCTTTGTCTTCTGTTGATGTGCCACCCAGCAATTTGCATGGTCCAAGAATAACCTTGACCTGGAGCGAGCCTGCAGAGCCAAATGGAGTTATCAGAAGTTACACTTTGTTTTACAGTCACGATGGAGTTGCACCAAGAGAGATTTCTGGAATAGGCAAAGATGCATTGAATCACACACTCGATGTGTTAGGTGGAGTGACTTATCGGTTTGATGTCAGAGCTGTGACTACTAAACCTGGACCAAATAGGACGATTACTGTAATGTCCAGGGAATATGGTAAGCTTGTTATATTTAAGTGAATTTCGAAGCACTTAAACACGTTTACACGACATTGTATAACAGCACGAAAAGACCTCATCTGGTTGATTATCACTCGTATTGAAAAATAATTTGATTTCAAACATCTATTTTGTCTGTTTTATTTGATCTGCTCACCTTGAAAAGTAGTTATCATAAAAGTCTTAAAGTGTGTCTAATCCATAAAAACGTTATTCCTATGACTTAAAATGTTGCGTAGCACGGATTACCGATCAACTCCAGTTTTAACACAGGTACAATAACTTATGTTTTAACTGAGGCATAGTAGTATATTTTTCTTTGCTGATTTCCCTTCTTTTTTTTTTATTTCGTTTTTGGACTAGAACATTTAAGTGTCTGCTCCAGAGTGTATTTATGTCTAACATTTTGTTGTGTATTTTTCACATGGGAATATTGGAAGAAAGAAGAATTCCATTCTAGTCTTAGGTTGGGTTAATTTTTCATCCATGAGTTATTTTACTTTATGAAAATTATTTCTCGTGTTTGTGAAATAGAGCCCAGTCGTGGACCAGAAGGGATATCCTCATCTGCAGTGAACTCCAGAAAAATCAATATAACTTGGCTTGGACTGTCAAGGGAAGTAGCCTATGGCACCATCATAAACTATGAAGTCAGGCTTAGTGTAGAAGAAAACTGTACAAAGATTCAGTCCTCCTATCCTTCAACTATTAACACCACCGCTACTTATATTCTCGTGACTGGACTCTCCTTGTGTGCCAAGTATGCAGTGTCTATAAGAGGCTACACTGCAGTGGGGCCCGGACCTTATAGCAGATCTGTTATGGAACAGATATTTCGTATGTAATTCAGTAACATGTCTTGATGCTGCTTTTTATCCTCAGGTTGAGCTTTGAGAAGGAATATTTAATCTATGTTTATCAAAACTCAGGTAATCCCGTCATCAAAGACCTCCCAAAAAGAACCGTTGTAGCACTTAACGAACTGGTAGTGTTGACATGTGAGGTAAATGGAGACTCTGAAGTTTCTGTAACCTGGACTAAGGATGGACTCACCAGTATACCTCGCGCTCAGTTCAAAAACAGTGGCAAAATACTTGTTATACAGAATGTTGTTCCTGGTGACAGTGGCGTTTATGAATGCACAGCTATGAACAGATTTGGAGAGAGCCGTACAGCTTCGACGCTCATTGTCGCTGGTACGTAGAAACTGACTCCCATGAAAAATTGCGTATTAATTGCGTAATAATTTACTTCCTTTAAGTAAATCCGTGGAAGAGCAGTCGTCTGTTTAGGTATTAAGTGAAAGAGGTAGCAAAGTTTTTCCAAAGGTCATGATCAACAAATGTTCTACAAAGCACTAATATCGTCACCTTGACAACTTGTTTGCACCCCTTCTTCAGGCAGTTGTTGGCAGGTCACTGACGTATCTCTCTGTGAACTCAAACTAATCAAATGTTTGAAAATGAGAAGAATGGTGAAAAACACAACAACGACGACCGAGAGAACTAACTAATGTGCAAGCGAAAAGCACATCATGATGGAGTTCTTGTATCTTCCTTGCAGGATTTTAGATACAGGTGACATTGCCTGAATTTATTTTGGCCTCTTTACGCTTTCTTTTCTTCACACACAGTTCCACCCAGCATTATAAAAGAAGTTTCGCCTTCTTCAGTGATGTGTGAAAAGCAAACTCCGTGTCTTGTCTCTTGTCAAGCAACAAGTTACATTCCATTTAACTACTCATGGACGAAAGATGGCCAGGTTCCCACTGGTGATGGCATCAAGTTAATGAATAACAGTATCATTGTCACGCCACGGGATGCACAAGATTATGGACAGTATGTGTGTCACGCTACAAACAGCTTTGGATCAACAAAGTACCAAATCACTCTACTTGCTCCTAAGGATACTCAATATAATGACGGTAAATATTCCTCCTCACAATTCAAACGCGCTTAAAATTTTTCGTCTCACAAAGTTTGGAAAGCCTAGCACTCTGAGGTCTGAGCTGGCGTTTTCGGAGCTGCTGATTATAACTGTTTGTACAGGTTTAATCATATTGGTATCAAAAGCAAAATTATGTGGTGGTCTCAGACGCCAACGCTGTTCAGTGTGAAGGTACTTTTGTCTCTTCCGTGAGAACATGATTTTGGTGCGCAGTGCATGTATCAAAGTTTGCCTGTTAGATTGTAACTAAGGCGAAATACAGCTAACAATGTTTAAAGACTCAAAAGTAAAATCTGACCGTGTCTTTGCACATAATACAGGTTTTATATTTTTGGGGGTGATATACACTGTAGTTGACCCGAAGAGATGTTCGAGAAATTTGTAGCATACAACGAAATTTGTTTGATTTTAGGAAATTTGTACGAAACAATTAAGAACAATCTCTAGGGACGATTCGAGAAAGTTTGAAACTGTGTGCTCGTTTCGAGGTAAGAGAAACGTCATATTTTATAATGTGAAAGAGAACATTATTGTCTCGAAACAAGAAACTAAGTAGAACATTAGGAATTTTTAATTGACTTAGTCTAGGTTATTAGTGTTTGATAGTTTGGTTTTTTCCCTTTTGGCAAGGTACACAAAGCATCCTTCTAGCTATTGTCATCGCATTGTGTTGCCTTGTGGTTGTGTCACTCATTATGAATGGTGTGTTCATATGGCAGCGGAGACGAGCTGTCAAATCTTCACCCGATCAACAGTCAAGCGATCAACAAGCTTCAGTCCCAAGTTTATATATGGAACTCAAACCCAGGCCTACGAACCAGCAGTCTCATGTACCAACTGAGTATCAGTCGTTACCGGAAAAACCCGGAAATCCCGGATATTGCAATGTGGTATTTCAGAGAGAAAACGGTGGGAAACAAAATGATGAAATTTATGAGGAAATATGAAAACCCTACAGAAGATGTTCTTGTCTCGCTAAAAGGAGCTTTGAGTACTTTGGTAATACTATACACGGCACGCATTTGAAGTTTCGACCTACTCACCGTTGTCACGGTTACTGTTACTATCATGATTTCGCGTACGGTGCGGTTATCTATCATCTATGAAGAAAAAACATATGATCACAATTGCTTCCTCAGTAGATGCAGCTAGGGAGTGCAGTCTGTTTACTTCAAGAACAGACATTGCTGCAATTGGTTTCTCATCAAAGTACTTTCATGGTCATTTTAAGGCAGTGGAGCCTTACGGGCCTCCTTAGCTTGTAACAACCTTTGATTGGGTCAGTTCGAATTCAATACTAAAATCTTTGTTATATTTACATGTATCCATGTAACTACGGTATATATTTTGCATTTGATTTGTGTAAAATGCTATACGAGGAATCACATATACCTGGATCGGAGCATTTAGTTATAACCTCGAACGAGAGATAAATGAAATTCTAAACTTTGTGTGAGACTCTTAAAAGACGATCACACGTAAAATTACTTGGCATAACAAAACCCTGTTAATTTTTTCCTAATTTTCTTTTGGCAGCATGAAAATTCGAGGCCCCGTCCACACGTATCCGGATAAATTTGAAAACGGATCGTTTTTGGTGTCCACACGTAAACGTCAAACAATGCCGTGATGAACTCAACAAAATGTGCAAAATTGAACCACTAAATGCTAGGTTTGAAGGGGCCAAAGTAACTTCTGTTGAAACAGTGTTTAAAATACATATCTCTGATTTCCTGAATCAAAACAGTGACTTTGACCCCATCACTGATAAAAATCAAAATCAAAATCATCACGTCATCCTTTTCAAATCGTTTTCAAATTTATCCGGATAAGGCGTCCACACAGAGACGCTTAGCCAGCGTTTTCAAATTTATCCACTCTGGAGAGCGTTTTCAAATTTATCCGTTTTCGGTGTGTGAAAACGCCGTTTACGTGTGGACGGAACCCGTAACCGTATAAATATTTATCCGTTTTCAAATTTATCCGGATACGTGTGGACGGGGCCTGAATTTAATTCAAGGTGGGTTCTGAGCCAGAAGTAACAATTAAAAATAGAAAATTATTTTTGGATATGTTAAGAGTCATCAGATGTAAACATAGAGCAAAGCGTTAAAACTTGATATTTTCAACTATAATTGACAGTTGTTCCTTATATTTTATATTTTTAAAGAGGTTTCTATTGTTTGAGTCATTTATTGGAAATTGTGAACGTTTTCAATGTATTTTTATAAACCGTAAATTCTTCTTAACTGTAAACACAATATATTGTTGTTCACTTTTACCCTAAAGTAATGCAATAATTTTAGACTTCAGAATATTACTGTGTAGTGTTTGTAGATAACTGTATAGAAGATTGTAGAGTATTTGCGCCTCAAACAATTTTCAAGATAATAGAGTATTTACGAATTGAAGAAAATGATTGGTAAGCTTTTTCCAAGGCAATAACATATGAATAAGTAATAAATGTACCGAACAAAATAGTTGTAGATAATGGAATAAAACGTTTTCACGAAAAGATGTATCTGACCTTGGTATACCATGTCTCTTCTGTCTATTTCTTTTCATTCACTAATAGAATTTTGTCATTCGGTTGTCGACATGAACTAAAATAAAGTTACTGTGGAACCATACGCTGTCTAATTCTTGACGTTCGTAGCAAGTTCGCTTGAGGCAGATCTCCGTGTACCAGGAAACCGTGAAGAGTTTGCGTTCCTGCTGCAAATGGTCTCTACCGAGCTATTTTCCCCCATTATTGTTGCTTACCCCGCAAAGACCTGTTAATGCGAAAATATTTCGTCACAGCGCGCGCGCTCATCAAGAATAGCACTGCCTTGCTGCAAGCGAAAGACTCTAATGTGACCTGCCCTTGAACTTTTATACATATATATCTACATAAATGTGGGGGTAGAGTCTGCCTTGGCATAAAGTGCTCAATGCTATGGTAGCAGAGCTGAGTATATATAAGAGAAAGAATCACAGAGGACGCATTGATTCTACCTACCTCTACCTATAATTTTATAATTTTGTCTGAACTTGTTTTGGTATCATTACGTTTTCCCTTTTTTTCACACAGTGCCACCCAGAATTATCGAAGAATTTTCCCCTTCCTCAGTGATACGTGAAAAGCAAAGTCCGTGTTTTCTCACTTCTCAAGCAACAAGTTATATTCCGTTTAACTACTCTTGGACGAAAGATGGCCAGGTTCCAACTGGTGATGGCATCAAGTTGATGAATAACAGTATCATTGTCACGCCACGGGATGGAAAAGATTATGGGGAGTATGTTTGTCACGCTACAAACAGCTTTGGGTCAACAGAGTACAAAATCACTCTGCTTTCTCCAAGGGATAATGAAGATGATTACGGTAAATATTCTTCCTCAATATTTGAACGTGCTCAAATGTTTTCGTTTAAAAAGTTTGGAGAGCCTAGAACTTTGAAGTCCAGTGTGGAGTTTATGGACTTCTATTTACAGTTGTTTGGTATAACCATTTATGTATCAAAAGCAATATTATGTGGTGGTCTCATACGCCGACGATGTTCTGTGTGAAGTTACATTTTCTCTCTTCAGTTAGAATGTTATAAGAGTGTGCAATGCAGGTAGATCATTCCATATATCATAATTGGCCCGTTAGGTTGTAACATAATCAAAACAGAACTTTATACACTAATTTTAAGGGGGCTCAAAACTTAAATACGCCTGTATTTCTCCTATTAGTTGTCCTGCTTGTTCGAAATTACTGGAGGTCATGTATGTGACTTCGAGTTAATAGGCATAAGAAATTTCTGGCATTTGATGAAGTACGGCTAAGAGACGAGACAACAGAAAGTTTGGAAGGGTGTTCATGTTTCGGGGTTAAAAAACAACGTCGTGTTCCTAAGGGTGAATATACTTGAAAAAAAAACATCATTGCAGTGAAACAAAGTAACTAAGCGGTCTTTGGTGTTTAATAGTTGGTTTGAAAGTCGTTTGTTTTCTTTCACCAGGTGCACAAAGCATCTTGGAAGTAGAGTGATTTTGTACTTTGTTGACCCAAAGCTGTTTGAAGCGTGACACACATATTGCCCATAATCTTGTGTATCCAGTGGCGTGACGATGATACTGTTATTCATCAACTTGATGCCATCACCAGTTGGAACCTGGCCATCTTTCGTCCAAGAGTAGTTAAACGGAATAAAACTTGTTGCTTGACAATTGAGAAAACACGGACTTTGCTTAGGGGTTACTTCTGTGTACTAAAAAGCGAGTCAGCGGGCGTAGTTAGGGAATTCGACGTAATTTTTATGTCTGTCGATAATGAAGTCGTTTTTGAGTTCTTCTGCCTTTTCCTATGTACATGGGTATGAGAAGATCTGAGAATGTAAACTTACTTCCTTCTCATCTCTGAGAAGGTGGTTAAATTTTAACTTATAAGCTGTTACGTACTGAAATCAGCTGAAATATGATGAATTATGAGCTGCAGCCCACGGCATTGTGGGAAATATCAACAACTTCAGGCTTATGTCATCTTGTTATGGAACGAAACTACTCGGCCTACGAAGAGACTGATTGTTTTTCTGAAACCGCGGACGATATTGCTACAAATCATACAAAGCCAAGTTTAAATAGTGAGGAGACAATCTTTTTTCGGATGAACTTTCGTTTACAGAAGACCGGTCAAGCAAAACGATCGTGATACACGCATACCGTGACTGACTCAATCGAGATGGCGCACTTTAATCATTGTTTCCGGGTAGCTTTTCTCGCTGTACTTTTTCCACTGACTTCAGGTGAGTACCATACAATCTTAAATCAATAAGAAAGGTTTATTTTACGTTAAAATTTACATTCAGGGTACTTTTGTGGGAGATTTCTTTCAGTCGTGAGTAGTGTAGCCGTACGGTCACAGGTTAATCCTCATTGCGAACATAATCAATATCAGAAAGAAACGAGGGTCTCTCGGGATTCGTTGTTTTTTCGTAATTAAAATGGCATCTTAAAAGAATAGTACGGTTAAGAATCTACCTGTTTTTACATCAAGCTCAATTCCTGTTTCAACGAATAAATTGAGTGGTAACATGTGCATCAATTTTAGGTTAAAGCATTCTTGAAATTTATTTCACTTTTCCTATCTACTGAAAGCTTTGAATTTGGACCAGTCTAATACATATCTACCTTGCGCTCCCAAAATTGTAAATTTACACTGAAAGTCAACTTCTCCTTGCTCCAAGGAAGGGCTAACGACCCAGGTTTCTCGAATTCGCAGCAGCAATTTATTTTTCTTTGATGCAGCACATCAGTTTTTCGAAACTTGAATCTTTCCTCATTTTCTCTAAAAATGGACACCGTCAAAAATGAGACCCGATGTATTTCCATTTGCAGTTTTAATGATCAGATTTAGATTTCCTCCAAATTTGTAATCAAATTGATAAATATTTTTAGAGGCAGACCAGCTCTAATTGTCCCTATTTGTGAAATGGATTTTGTATGAGACATACCTTATAGAGAGATTCAAGACATGCATATGTCTCTCACATCCAACCATTCTTGAATGTTACTATGATTATTATAACTGTGCTATAGTGCAAATGTAAATTTTATTTCTGTAGGAGCCTGTGTTGATTTAGATCTTGGAATGGGAAGTAGAACTATTCCAGATGGTAAAATAACTGCTTCTTCAGTACAAAGTGTCAGCACACCAGCCAAGAATGGTAGACTGAACTTCACATCAGGTTCATCATGGTGTGCAGGAACAAGTGACACTAACCCATATCTACAGATTGATCTACAGACACTTCATATCATCTGTGCTGTGTCTACTCAAGGGAATTCTCAAGCAGATCAGTGGGTGAAGAACTACACGCTACAATTATCTACAAATGGGATAACTTGGACAGACTATATGGAATTCAGTGGGCAGGTTAAGGTATGCCACATGGGCTAGTTGAGAATTATATGATATCTTGCCTCAATCACTGTTCCTGAGTTTTGACAATGTTGATGCATTTATATCAAAATGGCCACCAAAGGAGTTATAGGTATGCAGAGGATTATTTGAACTATGAAAATTCAACAAGTATTCTCCTCATGCTCAGTAAATATCATGAATTTTGAGTAATTATTTTTCATTCAGCAAATTATATTTTGCATGCCTGAATTTGAAGTCAAGGTTGCATAAAGAATACAAGGGAGAAATGGACAGGGAATCTAACAAATTGTTTTGAACTATGTTATTGCACCAAATATTTATGGTACAAAAAGGGTTGTCAAAGGAGTGCAGAACAAATGATATCTAATTGCTGAGAGATTGCTGCTCTCAATCCAAGAAGTAATAAAAATTGATTGTCACAGGTAAACTGCAGTTGTAGAAATTAGCTAGAGTTCACCTTCAAGGGTCAGTGTGCTATTTTTTATAATCCAATGGTCAAATTATGATATATTCATGTATGCTTAGTCCAGTGGGCCTCTTCCCTAAATGTCGGGCCTTATTCCTACACCTACATTTATATTTTCTGTTTTTATGAAGATTAACTGAGCCACCCAGCCCAACCATTGTGACAACAATAAAAGTATTTCCTGTCATAAAACAAGAGGGATGATTAGTTTCACCAGGATGAAGAGTTACAATTATAGTTACATTTTACATTCTACCTGGAACTCTATGATGAGTTATAATTATTTTCCTAAGGTTTTAGAGGGAAATAAGGATAGAAACTCAAATGTCAAACATGTTCTATATGGAGTGTTGACAAGATATTTGCGATTCCTGCCACAAAAACACCAGGGTGATGTGTGTATGAGAACAGAGGTGTTTGGAGTGAAACAGAAGCCAAGTAAGTTTAGAAACTTTTGTGTAATGTTGCACACATCCTCAATTTGATCCTTACATTTCACAGTTATCTGTGGTAGTTTGTTTAACTATAAACAAAGGTGACCTTCCACGGGAAAACGTACACTAACGGCTTTTCGTTAATCGGGTGAAACGCACGGCTACCGAACGGGTAACTCACCCGTTCGAACGGATGCTATCAAACGGATGCTATCGAACGGCTGAACGAGCTATCAAGTATTCCGAACGGCTTGTGTAAATTCTTGAACGGGTTACCCAAACGACTACACGGCTTGTGAAAATTATCGAACGGGTAACGCAAACGACTGCACGGCTTGTGAAAATTTTCGAACGGGTTGACACAGATGGATGAATGTATTTACGATTAATTTCATGAGAAGCAATTGCCGTAAGAGCCGAACGGATAGGTTATCATTCCGAACGAATGGACAGAGCCGGTCCGATTCACGTTTAAGTAGGTTCGAACGGATAGTCAACTGTTCTGATGTAATAAAATATTGACTTCCCACAGCCGCTAGAAAATTGCCTGACGAAGTATTCAAGTTTGTTAAACAGAAACTTAGTTCAGCGTCTTCTATTAATTAAAAGCAAACCTCGAATAACCTGTGAAGGTCAAGTTGTCATTATTTATCTTTGCCGTGTCGAGTGTTTATTGCCGCTTTATTGCACAAAAACGCGACTGCAACTTTTTTCTAGCAGCTTTGCATGTTGCCAAATTGTTCCCTATATCTTTTCTTTTGACAGTGAATTCGATGCGGCAAACATAACTATTCCGCGCACGATTCCATTTCTGGTGTTACTATAATACAATCTCGCGACATTTGCGTAAAGCGGATCTGTGTGACAGGTAACGCAACACTCTAGAGTCCTGAGGTAAGTACTAAAACGAGGAACGACCTAAAACCACCTAAAACCATCTAAAACCACCTACAACCATCTACAACCACCTCAAAAATTTCAACAACCACCTACAACCACCTCAAAAACATCTACAACCACTCGCAAACTATCTAAAACCATCTAACACAGGGCATAAATGTCTAAAATAAGGCGAAACGACAACATGTCACGTACACGAAATACGAGAATCGAACGAAACCTCTACCTTCCCCTGAAATCTTACTCTCCCTGGTCCCATGTATAATCAACCATCTCACGAAATGAAATGCGATAGCATGTTAATTATTTTATATTCCTTCAGCAAAAGACTTAAAGAACTTTACAAAATGAACTAACAAGTTACAAAAAATAATAAATAGGGAATAATACATGGGCGCGCGTAGATATGGAATTAATCTTCGAGTGTTTAACTCGATAGCTCACGAGTGAGCGCAGTGAACGAGTGAGATGTCGAGTTGAACACGAGAAGAGAAATTCCATATCTACAAGCAACCATGTATTATTTTGTTTATCATATAAACACAATAGCCCTTTTCTGGGAAGAAAATCCGACTTCATTAATGAATGCAAATAAATGAATCGACAATCCTCGAACAACAATCGTAGAGTGCGTTGGCGCTGACTCTTAAGATGGAAAATGCTTTGAATCATGATTACAAAAACTTCCATATATACGCGCGCCTATGTATGATTCCCAATGTATTATTTTTTGTAACATGTTACTTCATTTTGTAAAGTTCTTTAAGTCTTTTGCTGAGGGAATATAAAATAATTAACATGCTATCGCATTTCATTTCGTGAGATGGTTGATTATACATGGGACCAGAGAGAGTAAGATTTCAGGGGGAGGTAGAGGTTTCGTTCGATTCTCGTATTTCGTGTACGTGACATGTTGTCGTTTCGCCTTATTTTAGACATTTATGCCTTGTGTTAGATGGTTTTAGATAGTTTGCGAGTGGTTGTAGATGTTTTTGAGGTGGTTGTAGGTGGTTGTAGATGGTTGTAGGTGGTTGTAGGTGGTTTTAGGCGGTTTTAGGTGGTTTTAGGTGGTTTTAGGTGGTTTTAGGTCGTTCCTTGTTTTAGTACTTACGGGAATCCTGAACCTTCCAAACGGATGATACAAGTCGTTTGACGGAAAATAGTCCAAGTCGTTCGAACGGGCTGATGTTTTTGACGAACGGGCTGATATTTTTGACGAACGGGTGACCAAGCTGGTCGAACGGATGGATGTCTTCGACGAATGGATGACCAAGCCGGTCGAACGGGCTGATGTTTCCGAGAACGGATGACAAAGCCGTTCGAACGAGCTGATGTTTTCGACGAACGGATGATCAAGCCGGTCGAACGGATGGATGTTTCTATCGAACGGATGACCGAAGCCGTTCAAACAGATGCAAATTTTTCTGAACGGCTGACAAACGGCTAGTGAACGGAAAGCCGTTTGAAAACGGACGTTTTCCCGTGGTAGGTCACAATTTAAGAGCCCATGACTGTAAATATCGAGAATCGCTGGCCAGGCTAAAAAATTCGAAAATTCTGATAATTTGCCTGGAAAACCCTTTTAGGGAGATGTATTAAAAAAAAAATATTTCGAAGTTTGAAAAATCAAATGTTTCCGAGGAAATGGGGAAAAACGAAAATTTGGGTTTCTACCCAATTAATTATGCAAAAAATACAGTAACATTGACCAACTTTAGTGTGCGAGTACTGAAGGAGGATGTTTGGTAAGAAATCGGGGGTGTTTTTACTTCAAAGTATAATTCATTTGATTTTTATTTGTGGCATTTTAAGGAGCTTTGGTTTAATTTTAAAATTCACATGATTTTTTAACAAAGTGCTGTCAAACGCTTGTTGCAAAAAGCGAAAAATCGAGCAACTTCAAGCCTTCAAAACGCGTCTTGGCATGTGAGAAATCATATTAAACTACATGCTGGCACAAAGTTTGGTCCTTATATGAAAATAATATGAAATAAAAAATCTGAGTAATTAAGAAAAGTGCCGGTAAAATAAAAGAGTTTGCGACGCACTGTGGCCAAGGTCAAGAATTTGCGTGATGCAAATCAGTTGTAGAAATCGTACTTGAGAGCTACGAAGTAAACAAGATAGTTAAAGATGGTTAAAAAACTCTTTGATATGGAAATGATATGAAATTATAGAATAAAAAATCCGCAGACATTGCTGAAGAGGGCTGTAAATTGATGTGTAGATACGAACTTTTCTGTTAATTTGAATTGCAGAAGACTGTTATTGTCGACTCGCTATTTCAACAGCACTACCTACACCTAACTATAGATAAGGGCCGCTGTATAGTTCACCATTTTTGTTGACAAGTGGTTTATTATCGACATCGTTCTTAGTTGAATAGTTACGTTTTCTGCAACTGCGATAATATTTCTTTTGAAATATCTTGGATATCTTGGAAAACGTTATGTGAGTAAACAAAGTCACGCAACACCGCAAGCTTCTGCTGTGAAGTTTTTCACCTCAAGATAACAGCCGAACTATTTTTATGCTATTTACTCTTATCTTTTTTGGAAAAATGGCCACATTTCTGTCATAAAACTTGATAAAAAGGACTTATGTCACGGCAGCAATTATACCGTGTTGCAGTCCGGGCGATAATTCTCTATGATGCAATCACGGTCTTTTCTTAAAGGTAAACACGTGCGAGGTTTTTCATAGAGCATAAACAGAAAACGATGTCATTCTGTAGCTTTGCTTCTCTTCTTGGGGGGGCTTGTGGTGCAAGTTCTGAAAATCCAAACATGGCTGACTTTGTCAAATTGAAAGACTGTACTAGGGATCAAGTGTTTCCATGTCCAAAAGAGGGCTGCACGCATAATTTCCAACGGCACTCTTCTCTAGAAAAGCATCTCGCGTTCAGAACATGCACAAAGACGGTTGAAAGGAAGACACTTCTTGATAAAGCGAAGGTTAAATATACTGCAAGGCTCGAGGAAGGTTCAAGTTCCGTGCCAACCATTCCTCTACCTCCTGAAACCTGTCCTCGTAGCACTGGATATGCAACACTGCCTGAAGGCTTCGCTTTAAAACAAGTAAAGAAAGTTTACCGGTTTAACGAAAAGCAACGAGAGTATCTGACTTACCATCGGACAAGAAAGCGGCAAGAAGGTCGACGCGGAAATTGTTGCAACAGAAATGAGAAGAGCAAAGGAATTGAACGGGGAGCGCTTGTTCAGTGTCTCTGATTTTTTTTTACTCAACAAGTAGCTTCATTTTTTTCCAGAATGACAGCAAAAGTGAAACAGCAGACAGCCCCCTGCGCACAAGCTGTAACTGAGCAAGATCTCGTTGCTATGGAGGAAGAATTTAATTTGTCAAATGCTAAGGAGTCTATTTTTGAGCAGTTAAATGTAACTCATTCTATTCATTACCAACAGTACAACTGTTCCATGGTCGAGAATAACACACTCAAAAATCTCGAACTCGCAGTCTTAAAACTCCTTTGCGAGAGTTTCAATCTTGCATTACCACCTGGGGTTGATCATAGAAAAAAGACATCTTACGTCGCTCTGCTCGAAGACCTTGCTAGATGCTGCTCTTGCAGTGCAGTTTAAAAGGCAAATGGCAAAAGGCTGCTTCAAAAAATTGAGTTCTATATGAACGTTGATATAAAACGGGGGCCGTGGAGCATATTTTGGATCGGAGGAGCTATTGCAGTTCCCACGTACTGTGAGCTCATTGGCACCAACTTATAATTATCTATGAGGGCCCTGGGGCCTCCCCTCCGAGGAGGGCTTCCTTTTGTTTGTTTCTTAGTACGCCTTTCTCAGTACAGAAAGACTGCTGACAGGGTATCCTGGGGTATGCTCCCCCGGCAAATTTTGAAATCTAGAGCTTCTGAAATCACCGGAAACGCGTTTCAATCCAAAGAAAAATTTGTCAAATTTTTAATTCAAAGATTAAAATAAATAATAATGATAACAACAAATTGTTCTTGGTGGGGCTACAGCCCACTCAACCCCATAGCTCCGCGGTCCCCGTATTAAAGGCGCAAACCGGAAATGAAAAAGTCCCCTTCGAACCGCACTTGGCAGTCAGACAGGATCAGGCCGGCTGGATGTTGTTCGATATAGACTCATAAAATAATTTATACAAGTAATATAAAACGAGATATATAGGACCGGATGCTTTAGAATGGAGTTTTGACGAAAAAAGGATTGTGTCTGCTTTACTCGGCAACTTCACCTCTGATCCAACGTGACAATTGTCACGCAATTGAAACATTTTGCTTTTCGTCAAGACAGTTACGAGAAATGAAACAAAAAACTCATTGGCTTAAAAAACGAATTAAACGCTATTAAATGCTGGTCATTATTCTTGTAAATTTCATGTTGTAGCCGTCAAAAGAGCCTTTCCTACACCAGAACCGTCAGGCGGTATGATTTCTACAACTGATTTGCATCATGCAAATTCGTGACCTCTGGCCACAGTGCGTCGAAAACCTTAATGTTTTGCCTGCACATTTCTGAATTACCCAGATTTTTTATTTCATATTGTGTTAGTATAAGGACCAAACTTTGTGCCAGCATGTAGTTTGACATGATGTCACACATACCAAGACGCGTTTTGAAGGCTTGAAGTTGCTCGATTTTTCGCTTTTTGCAACAAGCGTTTGACAGCACTTTGTTAAAAAATCATGTGAATTTTAAAATTAAACCAAAGCTCCTTAAAATGCCACAAATAAAAATCAAATGAATTATACTTTGAAGTAAAAACACCCCCGATTTCTTACCAAACATCCTCCTTCAGTACTCGCACACTAAAGTTGGTCAATTTTACTGTATTTTTTTACATAATTACTCAGGTAAAAACCCGAATTTTCGTTTTTCCCCATTTCCTCGGACACATTTGATTTTTCAAACTTTGAAATAATCTTTTTAAATATATCTCCCTAAAAGTGTCTTCAGGCAAATTATCAGAATTTTCGATTTTTTTAGCCTGGCCAACGATTCTCGATATTTACAGTCACGGCCTCTTAAGGTTCTAAATTTAGTGGCCATTTTAATTTATTATGTTGATAATTGTTATTTGGATTAGTACATGTAGCTTTGATGATACAAATCACTCTTTGAACACTCAGGCATAGCGACTAACCCACACTGTATAAGCTGAAACTTGCACTCTTAATAACACTCATTAATTTAAAACTTCCAAGTGATAGGATGAAGCAATTTGTGTTTGATGTTTAGTGGTGGATTGTCAAGGCTCTTAGCGTTATGAGCTGAGGATTGCAAGAGAAAATTCAATTACCACAAATGGAGTTCCTCATGTCACAGCTTCACTTCTGTTACAATCAAAGTCAGAAACGTTAGGGATCCATTCTGGGCAATCACTTCATTTGAGCAGCCGCACAGCATATCATATGTAATGATAGCTGTTTGCAGCATTCACTTGGTTATTTCCAAACAGTTAATTATGGCTTCATCACTATTTTTCCATCGCTCTTTTTCTGTATTTCTGTAATAATTTCCTACAGATTGTTTAGAAGTGTATTCAATGAATTACATAAAAAACATACATGTGATATTTAAGATGGGAAGGTTAACTTTAAAATTGTTACCTTGCAGCATGTGATTCACAGGCAATTGGTTTGGCCAGTGGTGGTAGAATTCCAGATAACAGCTTCTCAGCCAGTTCAATATTTAAAGCCATATATGCAGCTAAATATGGTCGTCTTAATGGAAGAGGGGCATGGGAACCTAAGACTACTACTGATCCTGATGACTACCTACAAATTGACCTTCTCTATGAGTATGTTATCTGTGCTGTAGCTACTCAAGGAAATCCACCAACCCAATCACCAACTGCTCAAGAATGGACCACAGAGTACAAACTGAGATTTTCTTTCACTGGTAGTGCCTTTCTCCCCTATGAAGAAAATAAAATTGACAAGGTTGGTATGGCATGCTCATATATACAAGTATTTACAACAGCGAAAATTAGTACTTGTGTTACAAAACTACTGATTTTCATTTTGCAAATTACAGATGTCATTTTCCAAATTCAAGTTGCAGGTTTTAATTGATCTCATTTCACAAATTACAGTAAACCATTAACTATGCCAAGTTTCAATACGTTGATATCACTTTTTGTTTAACAGGCCTTTCCAGGAAATTCAGGAAAAACTGACACAGTGAAAAACAGTCTAAAGGAATTTGCAAGTGCAAAGTTTATACGCTTTTTGCCAACAAAGTATAATAAGTTCAAGGTTTTGAGAGTGGAGGCTTATGGAATACTTTTCACTAAAGGTATTTATTTGTTCTCATTTTTGTCTTACTGATCCAAACTGAAGTCACAATAACAATGGAGAAATTAAGGTGAAATTGGACAATTTACAGAACAGTAATGATTGTAGTTATACAGTTAGCTTTTGGAAAAGAAAGATACAGTTTAACTTTGTTACATAATTATGTGGTGGACTGGACTATTGTACCATGAATGGCAATGAAGTTCTGCACTGTTAAATGAATTGTTGTCAGCAGGAAAGTTAAATAGCTTTTTAAAATTCAGATATCATTGATAAATTTCACATCAATTACCATCTCAGCATGGAGGCATACATTGTACATATCTTTAATATCCTTATTTCAGTTCCATCAAAACCTCCTACTGCCTTCAAGTTGACTGCAAGATCTTCTACCAGCATTACAGCTTCCTGGCAATCACCACCAGTCTTTGCCAGACATGGAAGAAAAATAACAGGTTTTAAACTGTTCTACAAAAAGAAAGGTGGTGGGTCAGCAACAGCATTGTTAATTGGCAGCGGATCAATATTAAGTAGAAATGTCACTGGGCTTGATAAGTTCACGGAATATGAATTTCAGGTGTTGGCACTCACTTCTGATGGTGATGGACCAAAGAGCCCTGTTGAGGTGGAGAGAACAAAGGAAGCTGGTATGTGATAGGTGAAGGTGAAGGTGAAGGATAAAAGATTATGACAATTTTTGATGAAATAAATTTCATTAGACCTGCAAGGAGAGAAACCATCCCTCCATATGGGCTGCAATTGTAAGAAATTGCAGAAGAGAAACCAGAAAAAATTCAGGCCTCGATGGAACTTGAACCCATACCTCTCAGATACTAGATGGGTGTTACTACCAACTGAGGTATCAAGCCACACATTGGGAGCCAGACAATAGATAGAAGGTTCTTTGTTTGGCAGTAACATTTAGGGGGACCAGTTATAGGCATTAAGTTCTACATCTTTCCAATTGCAGCTCCATCAAAAGCCCCAAGCAGCTTCAGGGTGACTGCAGTTACTTCTACAATTATCACAGCATCCTGGCAGTTACCACCAGCAGACTCCAGAAATGGAATAATTATAGGATTCAAATTGTTTTACAAAAAGAGAGGGTCTGGTGGACGAGCAACCACCATGACCATTAAGAATGGAACAGCATTAAGTAAAGATGTCACTGGGCTTGATATTTACACAGAATATGAATTTGAAGTGTTGGCCTTTACTTCAGTTGGTGATGGACCAAGGAGTTCTCCTTTAGTGGTGGTGAGAACCATGAAAGATGGTAAGAATTGTAAAGCAATGTTCAAGTCTTTTTTAACTTAGTCTGCATGGTGTAGCAACAGCAAAAAAACCTATGAGCTGATTGTTTATGAGAAAGTATATTCTAACAGAACTTTAATGTTTTATTGCATGATTTGAACTTTCCCAGTTTTTATAAGTACTTTTGCAGTAACCAAGGTGGCTTTTTTTCTGGTTCATAATATTCAGTGTTGTAGTATAGTTATACATGTCTGGCAAAGACAAGTGTTAGGGATATCTAGGGGGTTACCACTGTATACAGGCAGGCCTCAAATGAAATATGGCCCCCATAGCAGTCAAATCCCTAGAAAACAGCCATGAGCCCCCATTCTAGGCCAGGGTCTTTCTTAGCTAATCATAAGACTATGTTTAGGTCATGTGGGGCAGTGTAGGGCCCTGAACTCTTCACAATACCAAGGCATCCTTGTTTGAAGACAAAAATTTGGTGACTGCTTACAAAGGCTTTAAGACAACTGCACAGTGCTGATAAACTCTTTCAGACAAGTATATTATTGTACATGAAAACTTGTTTGGGAACATTTAGAGATAACTGCTACAACACTACAAATGCATTCATGAATACTAAATTAGGTACTTTGTAATACCTCAAGATGACCAGTACAAAAGGTCTGAGAAACAAAAGAGGATAAATACAACAAAATTGAATGGTTGAAAACAACTATTAGTTACGGCCAAAGTATGATGTTCTTTTTGTAAGGAAGCCTGTTGACTAGCCAAATTGTGGCTATTCACCTTTTTAAATTATAATTTACCTAAATTTTAAAAGAGTTGCAGAGACAAAATTATTAAATGCATTTGTTGGGAGCTCTACCCTCTTAAACCTTTGTTGTATTCATTACTGATTATTTTTCCATGTCAGTTGTAATGCTTTAAATAGTTTTTCAATTTTTAGGTTGTGTTGAGTTCAGTCTTGGCATGGAAGATGGAAGAATTCTAGACACTGGAATAAATGCTTCGTCTTCTAGCACACTAGCCAAGAATGGTCGACTAAACTACACATCTGGATCATCATGGTGTGCAGGAACAAGTGACACTCACCCATATCTACAGATTGATCTACAAACACTTCATATCATCTGCGCTGTGTCTACTCAAGGGAATTCGAAAGCAGATCAGTGGGTGAAGAGTTACACACTGCAATTATCTACAGATGGGACAACTTGGACAGACTATACGGAATTAGGTGGACAGGTTAAGGTGTAAAATACATTCTGTTTTGAAGCATTACTTCAGAAACAACTAAGATTTAGCATGCATTGACTTTAGCATTTATATCTAATCCCCATAAGCATGCAGGAGGCAGTGACCAGTTCTTGACCTAACAAATTATTAATAAATATAAATGACTGTGATACAGTTCTGTTATAAAAACAGAAACACTGACATTGCTGGAGAAAAAAGATGTAGTCGAGTGTTTCTTCCCCCTTGAGATTCTTAACAGAGCACAGTCTGAGGCTGTTATTTGTTTTATAATAAAGAATCCGTTAAATTACCCAAGCATTACTCTCAATTTTCAAAACAAACTTTATTTCCAAAGCGAACAACAATGTTAGAATGGTTCAAATAATCTGATTGGCTGTACAAGACTAAAGCTGTCAAAAGTCTCAAACCGTCAAAGTTAAAAAACCATCAAAGTTCACATTCTACGATAGTTTACAAACTAAAATAGTTCGGCAAGTCGAATTTAACACTTTTGTCTGAAGTTTTTAATTCTCTAATACAGAATCTTGAAGTGAAATGTTCAGTGAACTTCAGCCGAATTATGGCTCATAAAAACACACGGGTTTTTTCCACATGACAAGGTAGAAAACAAACTGTTCAAGGCGAGTGTTTTTTGAATGAACTCAAACATGAAGATCACTGATGACAAATACTCGGCTGCAGTTGACTATATTGCCACTCAACGTATCGTAAAGGATATCAGAAGATCGAAATCGGTGTAGTTTCTGATTTACTGTGATGATCGGAGATCGCCATGATCAGCCGCGATGAACTTCAGCATGATCATAGTGAACCGTCATGATTATGAGTTTTAACAATTATGCCAGTTTGGTTATATTTTTCATCATTTCTGTTTTGTTCTCTTTTGTTCTTGAAAGAACTTTATATACAAATGTATGTGTTTGGAGAACAATCTAAATGAATTCACTGATGTTAATTGAACATGCACAGTATCATCTGTCACGTTTTAATAACGTAAATACAGTGTCTTCATTCTTCTGTTGAGCCTTCAGCGAAATTTCACTTTTTATCGGAAAAAAGCTGTGAGATGGCTGCTGAGGACATTAAGAATTTATTTGCACTGCTGGCTAACACTTCTTTTTCATACATGGCAAACCAAATGCCATTATTTGTGAATGAAATGAGTGTTGCTAGCCCTCAATCATCTACTTGTTGAAAATGGGAAGAAAAGATTGTCACTCAAAATTAATGAGGGTGCTTCGTTACTTGTGGTGACCATGTCTTTAGAGCTCAAAGATGTTTCCTTCCCCATCTTCATTTTTATCTCTATCATACAATTTTCAAGGTTTAACTCTTGGCCTTTAAGAGTACTAGCATCTTTTTTCTGGTTACAATAACGGAAATGGTCAGAAGCTTTTTGTCGTGTAGCACCTTAGGGAATGTAAAGAGAACAGTTTGAGGAATGTGTCTACTGATGTGAGGGTGTAATGGGTTAAGGAGGAAATGATGAGAGAAATTCAAATGTTATAAGCAGTGTGGATATCAATATCACTGCTATTTTCTTGTGACTATTGTTTTGTTTCTTTTAAGGTTCTGATAGGAAATGATGACAAAAACTCAGAAGTGAAGCATGTCGTTTATGGAATGTTGACTAGGTATCTGCGATTCCGGCCACAAACTCACCAGGGCAGGGTGTGTATGAGAACAGAGGTGTTTGGAGTGAAACAAAAGCCAAGTGAGTTTGAAATTTAATGTTCCATGATTGCTATGATCTGCTACTTTAAGGGCATTCTAAGATACTCTGGCTTAATATGTAGAAAAGGGTTTTAAACTTAATACATCTGTAGTTGTGTTCTTTTAATAATATACACTGAGCTTTTTGGATACAGTTAGTGGCTAAAATGAAACAAACCACATTGTATATAAATTATAGTCTGATGGTACTGTTTACAGTGTATACAGTCATCAAAAACACCAAGCCACTCATGATAACTTGGAAGTTGTATGCTCAACAATTTATTGTCTCTAATTTGCCAAAGAAACACCTTAAATCACAAAGAAAGGAAATGGCTGATAGAAAATGTTGAATATGAATTTATTTTTGGTACCTGAAATTCCATTTTAAACTCTTTAAAATCTCTACTCTTTTGATATGTACATTATTAGATTAATTGTAATTTTTGCAATGTGAAACTCGAATTATTGGCTTTTAAATGATTGGGATAAATACCAACTAAGTTGAGGTAATATTTGATGTTCAAATGCTGTTGGAGTCAGTTGAGTAATCATTTCAATTAATAAGAAACTGTATAATTGTTTGTCTTGCAATGTAGTCTCTTGAGATGTAGATCATGGCATTTGAACTGCTTACTGCTAGTATTCATCAGGCAACGGAGTCAACTGCTGATGGGTTACCATTTGTATCACGGCACTCTAATGTGATGGGTGAATTTTGATCCCCATTGTTCTGATGACTGCTGGTTTTCTGAACCCCTCCTCAAGCAAAGAGCCTGTGATGCAGTTCAAGTCCACAGCGCTTTTGCCCTATGTAAAAGGTGTATCAGTGCCTCTTTGCCATTGCCTACAATGACAAGGCTTCCGCACAGTCTTAAAGTCCAACACGACACTGAGATCACATTTTCTCGTATTTTTCCCTCACTCTTTTTCTGTATTTCTGCAATAATATCCTACATATTGTTTAGAAGTGTATCAAATTAATTAAACTAAAAACATACATGTAATATTTAAGAAGTGAAGGTTAACTTTAAAATTTTTACTTTGCAGCTTGTGATTCACAGGCAATTGGTTTGGCCAGTGGTGGTAGAATTCCAGATAACAGCTTCTCAGCCAGTTCAATATTTGCTCCCACATATGCAGCTAAATATGGTCGTCTTAATGGAAGAGGGGCATGGGAACCTAAGACTACTACTGATCCTACTGACTACCTACAAATTGACCTTCTCTATGAGTATGTTATCTGTGCTGTAGCTACTCAAGGAAGTCCACCAACCCAATCAGTATGGGCTCAAGAATGGACCACAGAGTACAAACTGAGACTTTCTTTCAATGGTACCGCCTTTCTCCCCTATGAAGAAAATAAAATTGACAAGGTTGGTATGTCATGCTCTCGTACACAAGTATTCACAACAGCCAAAATGAGTTCTTGTGTTACAAAACTAAAACTATTCACAAGAACAAAAAATTTGCTTATACCTGTCATAGAATATTAACAATATTTACAAATACTAGCATTATCCACAATATACTCATGTTGCTTACAAACCATAGCGACATTACTTTCAAGAACTCCGGGAACTGTGGGATGTATGCACTTAACTACAGGTGGCAGATTTTCATTCTACACTTTACAGATTCTCATTTTGTGTTCTTACAAATTTTCATTTTGCAAATTACAGATTTTAATGTTATCTCATTTCACAAACTACAGGAAACTATCAACCATGCCAATTTTCAATACATTGATATCACTTTTTGTCTAACAGGCCTTTCCAGGAAATTCAGGAAAAACTGACACAGTGAAAAACAGTCTAAAGGAATTTGCAAGTGCAAAGTTTATTCGCTTTCTGCCAACAAAGTATAATAACTTTAAGGCTTTGAGAGTGGAGGCTTATGGAATACTTTTCACTAAAGGTATTTATTTGTTCTCAGTTTTGTCCCTCTGATACAAACTGAAGTCACAATAACTAATTATTAGAGAAATTAAGGTGAAATTGGGCAATTTACAGAACAGTAATGATTGTAGTTATACAAAAATATAAATGGCTCCCACAGCTTGCTTTTGGAAAAGAAAGATACAGTTTAACTTTGTTACATATGTGGAGGACAGGACTATTGTACCATAAGTTGCCATGAATGGCAATGAAGTTCTGCACTGTTAAATGAAGTGTTATTCAGATATCATTGAAATATTTCTCATCAATTATCAGCTAAGCATGGAAACATACATTGTACATCTCTTTATGTTTATTTCAGTTCCATCACAGCCTCCTACTGCCTTCAAGCTGACTGCAACATCTTCCATCAGCATTGCAACTTCCTGGCAGTTACCGCCAGTCTATGCCAGACATGCAACCATTATAGGGTTTAAAGTGTTTTACACAAAGAAGGTTTTGGGTGTGTCAGTAACAATCTTGACTATAAGCGGGGAATCAACATTGAGTAAAAATGTCACAGGGCTTGATAAGTACACAGAATATGAATTTCAAGTCCTGGCTTTTACTTCTGATGGTGATGGACCAAAGAGTTCTGTTGAGGTGGAAAGGACAATGGAAGATGGTATGTGACAGATTAGAAGTTGATTAGGCAACCAAAGGAATGGATAACCATGCAGTTCAAATCAATTATTTACTGTATTGAAACTTTCAAAATCTAATAACAATAAATATGAATTGACAAGGGAAGATTTTACATCAAGTAGTTACAATTTTTTTTGAAAATGAGTATACTGATCAAAACACTGTCCAATTGCAGTTCCTTCACAACCTCCATCTAACTTCATGGTCAATGCAACCTCTTCCACCAGTGTTGGAGCATCCTGGCAGTTACCAGCAGAAAATTCTAGAAATGGAATAATCAAAGGATTTAAATTGTTCTATTTAGAGAAAGGCTCAGCAGGACCAGGATTGATGCGACATATAACAGATGAGTCAAAGCGTATTGAAGTAGTCACTGGGCTTTACAAGTACACAGAATATGAATTTGAAATACTGGCTTTCACTTCTGTTGGTGATGGACCAAAGAGTTCCATTTTAACTGAAAGAACAAAAGAAGATGGTGAGACGTAGAAAATTAATAATGTTGCCTACATACTTGCTTGAATTTCCTCCTATACGAACCTTTCTTTCTTTTCATAATATTAATAGAACAGCTGTTTAAGAAAACATAGGAGGCTGGTAAGAATTATGATCAGTGCAACGGTCTATGCACTAGTGTTAACTACAAACCTACAGATTCACATAGTTACTTGTTGTATTCATCTTCCCATCCATCACACGTCAAGAATTCTATACCTTTTTCAAAGTTTCTCAGACTTCGTAGTTTAGGTAGTGACAACTCTGATTTTTACGAAAAATCAGAGGCAATGTGCTAGATTTTCGATAAACATGGCTATCCTGTTTCTGTCGTTCTAGCAGGCGACCACTGTGCTCAACAAATTGATCGACAGATAGCACTACAAATGGCTGAGAAGTAAAACACTGATTGCATTTTATTCACTCTCACATTTCACCCTCACAACCATACGGTTAAATCTATCAGTCTTACAAACGTTAAATGATTGGTACTATCTTTACGCAACCTCCACTCTTCATTCAAACTTGACAAAAACATAGGCAACTTTTTGGTCAGAGGTTCATTTCAAACCGGTGACCAACCTGGAACTTTCAAATGCGCTCACTCACAATGCAAAACTTGTCCTTTCATTCATAACGTGCAGAAAATGTCGGAACCCAAGAGATCCATTAAGATCACTTATCCCTTTACGTTCCCCTCGCTACAAAAAAGTTATACATTGGTAAAACAGGGAGACGACAAGGTGACCGGTTACGAGAACACCTTCGCGACGTAGAGACAAACGACAAGGACGCATCCAAACCAGTGGCTTGACACTTAAATCTTAAGTAGCATATGGCAGTTTGCAGCCTTTCCCTACATTTAGGCAGTTCGGAAAGCCGCAAAACTCTAGAACAAAAATTTATCTTCCAAATCGGTACTCTTAATCCCCGTGGTATTAACGAGCACTTTTCATTCAACTAATTTACGCTTGTTTTCTCCTCACCATATTCCCACCAATAGGGTAGCTCCATTTTCTGCATTTAAACCTACACACGACCCACAATTCCGCCAATCGCTCTGACAAAGGACTAACGCTAGGAACGTCAGCCTTTAAACTCTTAACGGTTGCCAATTTACGTTATCAACTCAGTTGATCATACCAAATTACCCTATATAAAAATGGTACTAGTAATTTGTAGTACTAGTACTAATGGTACTAGTAGTTTGAAATAGTCTGTCTTGTTTGTAATTTTCTCTCAAGTTGTTTATATCGGTACCATAAATCAATTTACTTACATGTGTACTGCATAGGCCAAAAATGGCTTTAGTTTCCCTCGTCAGTTTACAAAGCACTTCCATGACTTCCTTCAGCAAAATACAAATCCTAGGATCATTTCAGGGTGAACAAAAATTTGATGTTGATACAACAAACATTTCAAACACACAACAGTATTTCAGGTGTTCATGGTTTCAAGAGTTTGACCGTAAAATACTTGTTCCTGTCTATATATGAACATTTACGTATAACTCATTTGCTCTAAATACGTTCAATTTTATAATGAGTTAATCTGAGATAAGATCATTTAATTGAAAATCGGAGTGGAAAAAACTCACTCAGAAAATTACAGTGCGGCCTTCAAAATTGGATAGTAAAAAAATATGAAAGCTGCATTTATCAAGTGACATACTTTCCGAAGTTCTCCTTTCTGATACAAGGCCACTACAGGAGCGTCAATTTTTTGGCTTAACTCTTTTCACATAAATGAGAACTGATAAACCGGCTTGTAGTGCTGTAAGAGCTAGTTCTATGCAGCCACCTTGAAATTGCCAGGTAAAAACGCTACATAACGTTAAAAATAGGTGGAGCAAATAAATGTTTGGAAGTGGGCCTCACGCCTTTGTCTGTCACACTCTTAAATTTATAATACTCAGTCTGATTCTTTTATTGAAAATGGCAAGTACAGCTTTTCTGCTCAATTGCAGCTCCTTCACTAGCTCCCACAAAGTTCAGTGTCTCTGCAAGCTCCTCTACCAGTATCACAGCATCCTGGCTCTTACCACCAGTAAACTCTAGACATGGCATCATCAAAGGGTTTAAATTATTCTACAAAAGGAATGGCTCCTCCGATTCGGCAACCTCCTTGAATATTCGTGGAGGAGCTACACAAAGTAAAATTGTGACTGGACTTGATAAATACACAGAGTATGAATTACAGGTGTTGGCCTTTACCTCTGCTGGAGATGGACCAAAGAGTCCCTCTCAGGTGGTGAGAACAAGAGAAGATGGTAAGAAGTGGAAATGATCATTTCTGTAATTTTCAGGAGTTTCAGAGATGCTTCAACCATCAGTTTAAAGAAGTATAGTAGTTCGTACCTTGACACTAAAAGAGAGGTTTAGAAGTGTATCCTTCATAATATATCTCACACTAAAACATGTGTGAAGACGATACCCAAATTACTTCTTGAATGATATGTTTTTTTAAATCCCGAGTATTATTTTTTGAAACAGCGTGCAGTTATTGTTTATTTGTTCACTCTTAATTAGTGTTAACATTTTCCTTTATTCTGCCAGCGCCTGATGCACCCACCTTCTTGTCATATACTGATCTATCACCAAGCAAATCACATGGTCCAAGAATAACCCTGACCTGGAGTAAGCCCCAAGAACCAAATGGAGTTATCAGAAGTTACACTTTATTTTATAGTCACGATGGAGTTGCACCAAGAGAGATTTCTGGAATAGGAAAAGATGCATTAACTCACACAGTCGATGTGTTAGGTGGAGTGACTTATCAATTTAATGTTCGAGCTGTTACTATTAAACCTGGAAAAAATGCCACGAAAACACTAACTACCAAGGAATACGGTAAATTTACTTTCATATCTTTGAAATGACTTCTTTTCAGAAGAACAAGAACAAGAATGACAACAATGTTATTTTTGTAATAGTGTAGTTTGATCGTCCGGGTGAGTGTAGTCCTGAGAAGGACTGTTGTCGGTAGTGGTCACTGACGTTTCGACAACCTGAGCGGAAGTCAGTCTTGACTCTGATGATGACTTCCGCTCAGGTTGTCGAAACGTTAGTGACCACTACCGACAACAGTCCTTCTCAGGACTACACTCACCCGGACGATCAAAGTGCACTATTACATGTTACCCCCGGGTTTCAACCATTAACTTTATAATGTTAATTTTACCATACTAAAATCAATTCTTACATATTCTGTAAATTCAAAAAACAGACAGTAGCTGGTCACCCAAAATAACTTAAGGGCTAGTGGGAGACTCCTATTTATCAATTGGAATAAAGACAAAAGTAGGGAAAAAAGCCGCTACTAGCTCAATTATTTTTGCATGTATCTTCATTGATATTATTACCTATAAGTACAAATAATCTAAAAATTATTCACATACACTACTTTACATATATGAAGTAATAAAAATATCAGGAAATAAGATGAGAATCGTTGAAAACGAGTAACTAGGTATAGATGACTGCCATTTGCTGTGAATCAATTAACAAAATGTCCTGTTCTTTGTTAGCTGAAGACTAAAGCGATCCTAATTGTTCAACTAATCACTACGGAGAAGGAAATATCTTAGATTTTAGACTTTTGTAGGTACATTTTTTAGGTGACAAAGGTTCAACTGCGACTTAAGTTTATGGTAAATTCTTGTTATTTTTCTTCACATTGAGATAAATTAATTCCCCTCTGTAAATAGAATAGAACCTCCTTTACCCTCTCTAGTGAACAAGCCCACTTTTAACATTTCATGCGATATGTTGAATACATGTATTTTGGGACTGTGGTTGTGTAATTTCGCGTCAGTTTAGCTTTTCATCCTAGAGAAGTTTTATACTATTGATTTTTTTTGTTTTTTATCAAATAGAGCCCAGTCGTGGACCAGCAGACATATCTTCCTCTGCAGTGAGCTCTGAAAAATTCAATATAACTTGGCTTGGACTACTAAGAGACGTAGCCTATGGCATTATCATAAACTATGAAGTCAGGCTCAGTGTAGTAGAAAACTGTACAGAGATCAAATCTTTCTATGATTCAACCATTAACACGACCACTACTTATGTTATCGTGACTGGACTCTCTTTGTGTGCCAAGTATGAGGTGTCTGTTAGAGGCTACACTGCTGTGGGGCCTGGACCCTACAGCAACCCTGTAATGGTGCAGACATTGGGTAAGAAAGTCTGTGGGCAGCTGTAATGAGGCAATTTTTAGGGAGGAAGTAGAATTGAAAGGTGGTAAAAAGTTGTAACAAAGTGTGGGGAAACTCAGAAAAATTATGTAGGTTTCGAGCGAAGGCAAGTGATTAAAGAGTTCTTTGAGTGTGTGATAAAAACGCACATGTAACTTCAACATTTTCCTCCAAAGCAAGAACTACTTCTGCTGTTGCTGCCACAACCTTACGACTGTTACAGGATGGCTGCTAATTGCGTCAGCTTTGTCCTTTTTTTATCTCAGTTAGTTTGTACATGCAATTGCAAAGGTCCACGGGCAAAATAGGCTTACTTCCGCTGTTGTTTTCAATGTTTTCAGCTTTGGATGCCTACAATTGGAAAAATCATGTTTTTTTTGTATATACACATAAAGAACATAGTGTTTTTCAAAGCCTGACTTAACAGAGCCTTCTTTCCCTTCTCCCCAGCTGTGGTTTGGTCTAAAGAAACGCCATCTTCGCCTTCTTTTTCTGCAAATTCAGATGAAGAAGGAATTTCAGTGAAAGTCACGCTTCCACGTTTTCCTGGAAATGCGAGGTACGGTTGACTATGCAATTTCACGCTAGTTTTGGCTGTATTCCTCTATTACAATATTCATGATGTAATACAATGTTCATTTTTAACTCGTGAATTGCGCGCATGCGTAAGAGCGAGTTGTAGATAAAGTGTGGAGAGTGGCATTCGCTCGCTCGATTGGTCGATTCCTGTAAACTTTTTTTCGATTTTAGGCTTTTGAGTGCATTTGATACTTTTTGGCGAGCAATAAACAAACGAAATGTCGACCTTTGTAGTTAAGAATAGTGGTGGGGTGAAAAAGAAGCTAATGATAATCTTAAAAGAGTTTTTTTTTTCGTTTTAGTTTCAACAAGCGTTGCCAGCGACTGGCAGGCATGCAAGGATTCACACTGAAATAACAGAACAACCTTCGTTTTTCATAAAATTTTAATTTACAATCCTTGAACTTGAAAACAATCAGAAGATTCATTGAAAATATCACTTACTGCGAAGCGCTCGGAGTTTACAGATGTTCAAAAGCTTTGTCAGTTATGGCGTGAGATTGAGGACAAAATCGATCATTACGTTTCGTATCGTGTGTTTCTCCTGTCTGAAGCAACAGAAGATGCCGGCGACTGACGAAATTACAAGTTAGCACGAAAATCAAATAACACCTAAACAAACAATTTTAGCTACCGATTTTCAGTGAATTCTTAAAGAACAATTTTCTTTTGAGTTTCAAGACAACTTGAAGATTCAAAATAAATATTACGTACTAAAATGCGAAAGTCATACACCACAAAATTGATAAATAGGCCTGAAATGAAATTCTATCTTGTTCTTGATTATACGTTGCCTAGCACGTGACTAAAATCTACCCAGGCGGAGATCCAAAATGACGGTGGCAGTCTTGGCTTAGTTATATCTTTCAAAACTCGTTCCCGTTTGTCTCATTTTATAAAGAGGGAATCGTTAATGTTTTCATTATGACAGTACTGCCTTGATTTTCCAACATTTACTATGATAGACAGTAAATTTCACTTTTCACCCTCATTTACTTCCAACCTTTTCTTTTAAGCCAGAAACAAAAATGATATCCGTTTAAAACACATGACATCATCCACCCTTGTCAAATGTAATAGCATGATCATTTCAATTGTAATGCCTTCTTATCCCAACGTTACTTTGTTTCTTTGGTACATTAGCGAACACTGAACTACTGCTCGTACTCTAGATGTGACAATCAACCACAAGATTCCCTAAACCAGATAACATTAAACATAATCCAAAAAATCATGTGTCAATTCACGAGTTTGCTCACAGAGCACTTTGATCTTTTTTACGGTTATAATCATGAGACATCTTGTGCATTGCTATGTGCTGATTCGAAAAAAAATTTAATTAACAATTGACACTACAAGATACTGTTTACATAAAAAATATCATGTGACTTACCTTGCAGGTTTTTCCAAGTTATCATCATTACATACAGCTCAAACTATACTGGTGCTGTTAACCTACCGGGAAGATTTACAACACAAGACATGATGACGTATGAAGAAGCGCACAAATCTACCGTTCCTGCTGCTTATGTCGCTTTTCAGTTTGGAGGAAATGATTTTGATAAAAATCGAGAATTTGTTGTCGGAGATGGAGCGGAATCCAGCAGTAAAGAAAGGAGTAAGAGAAGTAGTGGTGATCAGTTTTATTACAACAAACCATTGCAGCCGAATACCAACTACAAAGTGTTCCTCAGGGCTTTTGACTCCGAGGTATTCTAACAAAACTTTTGTCATAAGAGAGGGATGTCCTATTATTTCCATGTAAGAACTGAGTGACAAAACTGACCCATCTATGTACTCCGAATCTGCACCCAGATATCTCAGGAACTTTCCACTCCCAAACTATTATCTTGCCGTTGTTTATCAGCTCTTTGGTTTTAGTGAATGCAGTGCAATAACAGCAGCTTTTAAGAGGCTTGTAATGCTCAAGAAGTCTGGGTCACTATGCCATACCAAAATGCAGCAAAAGGTTGCAGATGAGTAATTTGTTTTTTATGGTTATATTTTGCAGACGGTTTATGTCTCTAGTAACTTTGTAAACATCGACACTAAAGGTAATGTTTTTTTGTGTTGTTTTTGTTTTCTTGTTTTATTTTTATACTTTTCCTTTGTCAGAGGCATCTAGCATTCAGCAACCAAAGTTAACTCAATGTCGTCTGATCTGTGAGCTTTTTTTTATTGATATAAGACTTTCATGCTGTGTTAATTGTCTTTCTTAGTTTGTAAGTTTCCAATCAACCGAGGGGCTTTTAAATTATATTTTTGTCGGTAAGGGATAAGCTGCAAAGCCTCAATGCTGTATTTGTGCCTTGCTCTTTGTTAAGGAAAAAATACTTTATGTTTATAAAAACTCAGGTACACCTATCATCAAAGGTCTCCCAAAGACAACCATTACAGAAATTGGCGAACTGGCAGTGCTGACTTGTGAGGTTAGTGGAGACGCAAAGGCTTCTGTTACCTGGACCAAAGATGGACTTGGCAGTATACCTCGCGCTCAGTTCGAGAACAACAAGAAGATACTCATTATAAGAGATGTTGTTCCTGGTGACAGTGGCATTTATGAGTGTAAAGCAATGAATATGTTTGGAGAGAGCCGTACAGCTACGATAGTCATTGTCGCTGGTAAGTAGAAAGTTTACTACTTTTGCATTGAATATTGGGAAGCAATAACATTTTCATTTCCTTTCGTGAAATAAATCTGTGAAGGAGTAAGTGTATTTTTTTTATTATTTTAAGTTATAGAAATTTGCCAACCTCTGCTTAAAGAAATAACTAATCATGGTTCTTTAAAGCACCACGATAATCACCATTGCAACTAGTCTCAACCTTACCCCAACCACTTATTACCAAGGTATTGACGAATTCGAGTGTGTACTGAGTACTAAACAGATGTTAGAAATTTGTAATAGAGGGGTGCAAAAACTAAGGCAACACTCATAACAACTAAACAAACCACCACTCAGCGCCCAGACCAAAAATAGGTCATGTCCAGTGTTGCCACATGTTTGTCACACCCCTGTTCCGTTGTCTTGAGCATGATTTTGTCTAAACTTGTTTTGTTATCATTACGTTTTC